GATGGAGCCGCACGGATGAATGCAGTTGATGTGCGGCCCATATTTGTCCACCCCACCCATGACCAGGGCGGCACTGATGTGACCCTGGTAGCGGAACAGCGTACGCCGGAGCATCATGCTGGCACAGATCAATGGCACCTGGCGACCCGTGTTCAGGCCGTGCAGATCTAGCTCAGCGGACGTCATCTGAGTCATCTGTTCAGTGTCGGCGGCGGTGCCTGCCCCACAGCAGCTGTGGAGAGCAAAAGTAAGACTGGGCGTGGCTCGGCTAGAGGATATTCATTTCATTCGAGTAAACTTTAACTACAACAATTTGGTATTCAATAAGAATTCCTAAAGCCCTTTAAAAACCTAAGCTTGTCTCTAGTATTTGAAACACGCATTTTACAAATAAAATGGTGAGGGGTGGATTTAGGGGTGGGGGTAATTTGTAACAAGAGTCGAAATTCTATAATTCTTTTATTTGACCTTTAAAAATTGGCGACTCTAGCTCGACAGATGTAGCAGATATAAATTTATTACTGATTGTAAACGAAAATACCTCACTATGGCCGTGGTTTATACGGACCTAAGAAAAAAATTTTAAATTTTCCGACAGACGGACAGAGCTAAATTTACTCAGCTCGTCACCCTGATCAAAAATATATATACTTTGTGGGGTCTGCCACGCCTCCTGCTTGTTACATGCTACGTAACCTTTATACCCTGATTTCCCATTTTCAATTCAGGGTATACATTTCGTATATCTCTTAAGATCTTTGAAACATACAAGTTTCGTCTTGTCTTGTTTTAAAAGAAGACCTATTCCCTTTTCCAGTGGGTTCAGAGTGTAAAAAGCAAATATATCCAATGGCAGATGTGTGCCTGTTAGTTAGCTTACTAAATGTGATCCTGCAGGCGATGTATCTTCGAACAGTTCTTGTCTGACACAATGGGTCCCTCGGTGGCGCGCGTATCGGCACCGAGTATAACACCGTCCTGGTAGATGATGCCCACGATGGAAGTGCCCGTGCGCACTGCCAACGGTGGCTTATACCCATCCATTAGCAACTGTGCATTGCTGTAGAGTTAGGTAGAGTGATGGTACGTAGGAGTAGTAAGAGGAAAAGGAGATGTCGTCTCACCGTCTGGCATTAACGAAATTGAAAGCGCATCGTATGTCCTTGTCCTGAAAGTCCTGAGCCTCCAAATACGACAACATCTTGTGTGGCAGACAATAAAATTTTTACTCAATTTTTGACTATAGAAACTGGTGTGGATGATATGATATACTTGAGCAATTTGTGTGCCTAACGGAAGTAAATTGTAACAGGCAAAGCCTACTAAGATAAGTATGCTTGCCTAGTCACATGGTATATGTACAGTCTATCCATCTCTCAGAGCTCCGTTTTTCTTTTCTCTATCCTATTCTATTTATCTCTATCCATCTATCGTATGTGTTAGATAGCTGAAGCTATTATTGGTGGCTAATCGAAATCGTCTTATGTAAATAATAAGCCCAATGAATAATGAAGAATGTTTCTTGTGTGGCGTTGCTAGAGAGGATGATGGAGCTATGTGCGGATAATTAATGCACAATGTCTACATATTCGGGGGGCGGAATGATTAAAGACTATAATTTAGGGGCAGAATATGAAGGCTAAATCGATTTCAGGCGACTGGCAACTCTCTTGTCGAACGAAATACAATTAGGATTAATTAGAGTCCGGTTATATTTTAATTAGCATTTGGACAGCCCCGCCCCAGTCTCTGTCCAGTCGGTCGAAATGCTGCTACGCAAATGACAAACACTTTGATTGGCAGCCAAGGGGGTTTGGGCGAGGGGTGGGCGGAAGGCGCATAGGGAATGGGGCATTGCAATGGTAAATGGTAAATGGCAAATGGCCGAGCTGCAAAAATGACTTCCAGTTGCAACTTGACGACAACTTTGCTGCAACTTAATTACGAGGGGAGAGGTGCGGCCAAGGGACTTGAGATGCCGGACAACAACTGCTTTTTGGGGCGGCCAGATGGCGGCGGACTCTCAACTCGCAGCTCTCAGCTCGCAACTTGCAACTTCGAAGTTTGCTTAAACAATTTTGCGCTGCATTTGGCCAAGAACTGAAAACTTTGCAGCTGCTTATGGCACAACAATAGCAACAACAAGGATGCAAAAACCAGATCCCAATCGCAATCCCAAATCCAAATGCAACTTTCGTTGTGCCATCCGCAAATTCGCTCTTGCCCAGCTGTGCCTACTGCATCAAGAGCGACGGCCACAAAGGGGACTGCACTGGGGGGGCCTGGACTGGATGACGTATTAAAGCATTTATTTTGTCCACCCACAGCCACAGCTCGAGATGAAACACGAGAAATATTGATATCTATCCATGTATATTTTGCTTCACTAACATTTCCCAAAAACTGAAAGCTCTTCAAAGGCTGGCGAGAGCTGCTTTCCTTTCATCGGCACGCAAGACGGACGGATTCAGTATATTAAGACGTTCATCGAATCGAATTACCACAGGGAGCTGTGTGGCGTTCGTCAAGAGATTGGAGGTCTTTTGAGAAGGTATACTAGATAGGTCTGGCGAAGGTAGCTTGCTATTGTAATTGTTATGATTTCTCTGGTTTTTTGAGACTCTTCTTTTAATGCTATTTTTGCGGTAAGGGATTGTTTGTTGGCCACATCCACCAAGTTCTCATGCATGTTGTACTTGCCATCCGGAGTTATAAGGCGTGATAAGGCCCACGCCCATTTAGTCCTTATTTCCTTTCGGTACATTTGCACCGGGGGTGCACCTCCAGTTGCGCCCCAGCGGAAAGGGTCATTGGCAAATTGTCTGGGCCATCGGGCCATGACAGAGTTGAGGGCGCGTTGGAAGTATTCGTAGTATATTTGTTTTGGTTTTCCGTCTGTTGAGTCGGATAACCAGCTGTCTATGTCGTCTTTTATCTGTGAGGGTGTGTGTGGGGCTTTCGCATTCAGCGCATGCATGTGGCACAACAACATCTACGCTGGCCCTTTTGTATAAAGAAGGGGGTAACCGAATGAGCTGAGTTGCTTGAGATAGTGGCGGAAAAAATCATCCTCAAGCAAACGGACGTTGTCCTCAGTCTGTCTTACTCCACTGGTTGAACAGCTTCCGGATTTTTGACAATGCATAGTATATCTCCTGAGCGACTTGCACTTGTCCAATATATACTGATATCCCATTTTCAATGGGTTCAGGGTATAAGAAGAACAAAAACACGTTGAAAGTTTGATCAGTTGCTAAACTGCTTTTCAAATCATCCTGGAATACAGGAGTGCACCAACATCAAAACTCTTCAGGGAAATGGAAATTTGAATAGCATTAGAAGAGAATATATTGCTGGCAGCGCAGAGCATTAGCCTTGCGGTCCCCCTCAAAGTGTATATGAAAACGAGCACCTTAAATGTGAATCAATATCAATATCAATAGCAATATGAAATGTAACCAATTTGGACTATGGCAAGCGGTTGGGGCAAATGCTAATTGAATTGTTTTCAAAGTAAAAACGATGCTAGGCGCCTTGTCGCATGGCGTGCGACAGAGCGAGACAGCTGCCCAGCGCTAGGGTACTCATTACGCCTTCAGTGCCCCGCTGTCAATTAGATTTACGAAACGTTTGCATTTGCGCTCGTGTGCAGAAGTGGCAGAAAATTGCTTAATTAAATTGGTCAACTAGCAGCTACAAGCGGTATTATGTCATGGTTACCTAGCGCAAACTCTGATTGCTAATTGCAGTTGAGCAAAAAAGGAAAGTGGGGAGAAACCAAGAGCGTAAGTCATGAGAGAAGCTGCAACTGGAGCGTATTGTTGCCTAGTAACACCGCCTGCTCGCCCCTCTCATCTCCAGGCGCCCGCAGATACTGTCGACAGCACATGTGCAGCTAATTAAACGAGACATTTGACACGGTTCGCTAATTATTATGAATCTGCGTCGAACAGCGGTGAGAGCTCGACGACGGACGGAAACTTATTCAATTGTGCATCGTATCCTGGCAACGAAACAAATTGCACTTGCACACAACTCCTTTGCGATTATCCTCACCCTACTCTCGGCCAAGATGCTTATCGGGGAGCTCCCTTTGATTTTACACGGATTATTTGATGTCTGATGGACTTGAAATCTCATTCACATATGGACAAGCGCTTGGAAGGGATATCTCTTGAATACTGTGAACAAATAGTTTTCTTCATTTGCATTCAATCTATGGAAATATTCGAATTAGATCTATGAATAACTACATTACGTATAAGGAAACCAAATCAAATATCAATTTCTAAGAAATATTAATTATTATCTCTATGCTCAATTTTAACCATAAATAGCGTCAATTGATTCATACATTTTGGACATATTTTTATGTGTATGTATGGAAATATATGTATAATAGGCAAAAGGAGGCGTCGTAGAACCATGATCATAAATACGTACATATGTTTTCTTCATGCGGATGACGAGCGGAGTTGATCTAGCATTGTTAGTCTATACGTTATTATCACGTTCTAAAAATTGGAAGTAGATAGTCCATATCACTAACCATAGCCCATATTGGGAGCAATATTACCTATTTAAAACGCACTTGTGGTCTCTGATATTCAATTTAATAACATTCTTAAGAAATGAGCTGTTTTTGATTAGGTTCCACTGGGTTTTCAATTCAAAGAAACAAATAATCAATAAATCGAATCAACAAAAATTTATGTATGTGTATTTGAATCAAAAAAAAAAACATATATTGATAAGTAAAGTAAGTAATTTTATTAAACACAATTCCATTTCTAAATTTGATTCAGCGGAAATGGGGCATTTTTTGTTCCTTCGAAACGGACTAAAAAATACAAAATAAATATTAGATTCGTGCTGATAATGCCAGCATTAGAATAGTTAGAATTTCGGCGCACAAATATGCGGTCACACTGTGCGGCGATCAGTTAATAAAAACAGCTGTCAGAACTCACCCGGTGGTGTACGTGCATATGTGCATATGTGTTCGCCATGAGCGCTGCAACGAAAAGCGACGACTTTGAGATTCGCGTGTGTGGTGTGGAGGATGGCGACAGAATGATGGAGTTCCTCTTGGAGCACTACTATCGGGAGGAGCCACTTACTGCCGGCTGTGCGCCACCAGAGCCAGATGAGAAAGATAAACAATTTCTACTCTCCAATTTGCCACATGGCACCTGCCTTCTAATGCTCCACAATGATCGCATTGTGGCCGCCGCCGTCGCTGGGCCCAAGGAGGCCAACGCGGTGGATGACCTGTTCGAGCAGGCCGCACAGCTGGCCGGCACCAAATGGGGTCGTATTCTGGGCATTTTGGCCATTGCGGAGCGCGATGCGAACGTCTTCAAGCGTTACGGCGTGGACAAAGCTCTACACCTGCACGCCATTGGCGTGGACTCGCAAATGCGTGGACGTGCTGCAGGCCAGCGACTCATAAACGCCCTCGTTGCCCTGGGCAAGGAGCTGGGCTATCCGCTGCTTACCGCCGACTGCTCCAGCTTCTACTCCAGCCGACTGATGCAGCGCCTCGGCTTCGACGTGGTCAACCGAATACCCTACACAGACTACGTGGACGACGCTGGGGAGCAGATCGTGCGACCACCTGAGCCCCATCTGGCCTTGGAGACGGTCGCTCTGCGTTTATAGCTCTAATTTGCAAGAGCGAGATAGACTGAGCGGCAGAGGGCGGCCCTATCTAAATCATAAATGAGAAACATTTGCCCAAGTCATCATAAATATTTGACACTCAACCAAATGCTCGGTTATTTGACATACATATATACATGTATATGTATATGTATATGTATATGATTTGTACAAAAAATGTTTCCATGTGTAAGTAATGCGACAACACGAACTAGTCACATACATGTATATCTGGCTCTAATGGATCAGTTATGGAACAACTAAATTTACTATAGTTACGCCCAATAGAAGCTATAGAATGTAGTAAAGATAGGCATTTGACTTATTAAAGCATCAACCAAAGCTAATATGTGCACCGAATTTTAGTTAGAACTGTTGAGCGAGACAAAGCGAGGTCTAGCGAGGGAGGCCAATGAGCTTGACCTGAGTTTAAAATATCCTCCTGCTCTCCACTGCCTTCAAATTAGCAACATTGTTGACAGTCAAGAGATGTGCGTGATTTTCATAATTGAGTTCAGATTACGCCGTAAGTTGCTGGCAGCGGACTATTTATGGCGATGATGAACAGCAAGTCGTCCGGCAGGATGCAAATTAGACGGCGAAGGCAACGGTGGGACTTGTTAGCAAAGCAGAATGGTCAATAATAAAGTGTAAGGAATGGTCAATGCGTATCCGTATCGAGTGTCATTGTTACGTTGGACACAGATTGACAATGGGTCGGCGGACGGCCGTATATTGCAGCGCCAAATGTATCTGGGATCAGCAGTGAGTGTAATCCGTGAAAAGGACTACACGAAAGGAAGCGGCAAGGAAATGCGGCATTCTCGGTGGCACTGGTCAACGGATTATGGCGTTGGTCTTGAATCCCGTTCAAGTGAAATCGAGCGCGTGAAGTTTAAGTGCCGGCCATTGTCCAACGAAATTTGGCGTAATTGGAGCAAAGCTTGTGGAGGGCTCTGCGCCGCAAAGCCGGACGGGGTGGTCCAAGGTCAGCGCTACCAAAAGGAAAAACCGAAAACGAAAAAAAAAAAATGAACAAACTAACCGAAATGGTTCAAACAAATCAGCCAAAAATAAAGAAATGCTGCACAATAAAAGCATTAGCACTGTGTGCGAGGGAGAGAGTGATAGTCACTGGGGGGGATAGAGTGTGAGTGCGAGTGTGTGTCCTTGAACATTGTGTGCCAAATGCATGGGCATCTTGGACGCGACGGAGAGGCGTGGCGAGGTAGCGAGGCGACAGGCAGCGACAACGGCAACAGCAACGGCAACAGCAACGGCAACGGCAACGCCAGCGTAGCTTAACACACACTTCAAGCGCGAAGCGAGCCACAGTCACGTACATTTTATAAACTTGATGGCACGTCAGACCCTTTGTCCATAGCTGGCCTAGTGCCTGCTCGCTCTCGCCTGTTGGCGAGCCTTTGGCTGCGCGCCTGCTTGCGCTCGTCAGCTACAGTGCTGTGCTGCGCTAGCAATTCGCCGCAAAGCTTGCCATTTTCGCCGCATACACCATTTGGCCGTCGCCGCCGCTGCTGCTGCGACTGCTGCTGCTGCTGCTGCTCCTGTTGTTCAAAAGCAGCCTTCAATGCTGCCGAAATGCCAGAACAATTCGTGCCGCGTGCGCGTTCGGTTCGTTTCCTTTAGCAGCGGCTCCACTTGCTGCTGCTCAGTTGCTCAGTTGGTGTTGGCAGTGTTTTTGGTTTGAACGTGTTGACTGTGCTTGTGTGCGTGTGTGTGTGTGTGTGTGTGTGTCTGTGTTTGTGTGTGGGTGTGGGCTCTTGTGTTGTATGTTTGCATGTGAGCGTGCTGTAGTGAAAGTAAACAACAAGCCGCATGGCGCCGGCAAATCCAAGAACCACTCAAATGTGAAGCCAACCAGCACTGCATAAAAAAAAGAGAGAAAAAAAAAAAAAAAAACAGAAAATGGCGCTGAGCAGCGGCAACGCAGCCAAAGTCGAAATCGAAATTCATTCATTGATTGAAATTCGCGCGATTTACTTTACGGCCATTTTTCAAATTTGTTTTGGTTTTTTTGTTGTTTGTCTTTTTTTTACAGTGCCATACAACAGTAAGCGTTACCGAAACTCTGAAAAACCACAGCGAAAAGAAGAAATATCTCACAGATACAAATCAGCTGAAAATGCCGCGTGAACTGTTGCAAAAACGCGTCCGACTCAGCCGGCTGTGGCTGCTGCCGCTGCTGGGCCTGTGCTTGGCCAGCTTTGCTTTGCGCTGCGATGCGCGTGCGGTAAGTGCCTAATGCAGTCCCAATCCCTAAACCCTGCTCCTGCTCCTGCTCCACATTCAGCCCCCAGTGCCCCGCGTTCGCCTACTCAAAAGCTATTCATGGCCTGCCACACATTCCACACGAAGTTGCGCCGAAAATCCTTGCCGCTCCACCTCGACCGCCATCGCGATTACTTTGTTGCGCCAAGCTCGTTTAAGGATGTCGCGCACAAAGCGCAATTGATAGATTAAGTGCTCTCCCTGGCACGAGCCTTCAGCGTTTAGCATCTTTGGCACTTTGGCAACCAAAAAGAATTTATTAATGGAACGAATTTCTAGGGAAACACTTTACAACGCCTCAGAATGCGGCACGCTAATTACCAACTAACACGATTCGACTGTCTAAAAGGCGTTGACATTTGGGTTAGAAGTGCTAACCTGCATATACTTATCTTTACATATATTATTATAGTCGCTTGACAACAAGAAAACGCAACGGAAGCTTATCAGCTCCACTGTATAGTTTATTCAAACATGGGTTTGTTTAATCTATCCAGAAATCGACTTCAGAGCTTTACCAAACTGCGAAATACCAAAGAAATAATACCGTGCGCTATTGTGAGTCATGTGAATACACATCGATTCGATTCGTTAGTGATAAGATTTTCTACAAGTTCTACCCCTTAAGTATAATTATAATTAATTAAGTATTGTATTAATTGTTTTATTCTACGTATGATTATAAAAAACCTAAAATTTAAAACTAAAAAAAAAAAATTTTAGAAATAAATTATTTTACTTGAGTAGAGTGTTGATCATTGTAGCTGGAAAATTTTACTACAGAGAGATCTTATTCCAAACAGTTGAAAGCCTAAAGGTTGGGCTCATATTCAAAACGAAAATGAAATTCTGGGCTCAATGTTTAAGAGTAGAAAACATTTTTCTCTAATCTCATTGCGTAGCTTAGGTTATATGATATAATATTATCTATCACAAAATAGATAAATATTTTAAATAGTAAAAACTGGCGTATCTCTTATGTATGTCTTCTTGTATGTGAAGACGATTTTAAGTGTGAGGGTTTGAGGGCAAGGTACGGAGTGGGATTCGAGCCTTGGATCTAACAAAATCTGATTAAAGTTAAGCATTGATTTCTTATAGAGAATAAATTCATATTATATCTCTTACATGTCTCTTAGACGTCTCCTGTATGTCTGATTGGGAAAACGTCTATTTGCGTTCCATTTAATATTCAGTTAAATTTCAGTTGGCTTCCCACAAATGGGTCTTTCCGAAGAGCAGTTAGATGCTGATAAAGTGGAACGTAAATGGAACGATTTAAGTGATGCTTAGCAAAAAATTGTAGCCTCCGACAAGTCGGGCGCCAACAAGTCGTGGGCGTGGCTGGTGCCTGATGGCTGGGTATGGGGTGTGTCCTCTGATTCTGGCAGCATTTCAAAATTCGAATTGCCCAATTTATATGCGCAAAGTTCTAACTCTCTCCGCCCCTATGTCTATATGCGTGTGTGTGTGTGTGTGTATGAGTGTGTATGTGCGCGTGTTTTTTTCCTTTTTGAGTAAATCAAAACGTGAACTCTTGACTAGCCAAGTCAAAAGTTGTTTCTATTATTTTTTCTTTTACTTTTTATTTTCATTTTGTTTTGTTTCGTGGGCCAAGCAACGGCGCGACGGGGCGACGGGGCGACGTCATCGTCGCCATTGTTGTCGTCTGCCTGGTAACCGACTCTACTAGGCCTCGCCTCTGCCTCGGCGGCAGCCCCTCGTCTTTGGTCAGTTGAAATGCCTCCTGACTGGCGACTTGTTTTGGTTGCGGGACTTATCCTTTCGACTGGCTTGCCCCCTTACCCTCCTCCCGCCCTCCCCCTTCTCGTTTCCTATGGCCTCTAGACTTCAGTTACCAATGCCAATTTTTCTTTTGTTTGTTTTGTTGCTGTTATTGCTATTGCTATTGTTGTTGTTGTTTTTGTTTTTGTTGTCGTCGTCCAACCAGCCGTAAGGGCGCTACGAAATGAATAATTTCAGTGAATTTACTAGAAAATTTTATTCATATAAATCACAAATTAAATAAGTTTTTACGACGTTGTTCAGCGGTTGTGCGAGGCCACTACAAAACTTATTTGTGTTCTCGATTCTCGTGCTGTGAATACCCTGTAAATGTCAAGTGTGGCCCAAAGGGACGCACAGCATTCGAGCTGAATGTCAAAGAAGTTTTCCCTTTGTCTTTCGTTGGGCTGTGGCCGTTCTTCGTATACCCAAGTGGGAAGTGTCGGAGCTAACTACTTGAATATACCCTAAGTTAGTGTTGGGTTTCACAAGGATATAGAGGGGCTCACTGAGCTTCGTCTGTTTGTTTTACATATTCAAAGTAGCTGGAATAGATAGAGAGTGCTTCGCGCATCATTCGTCATTAGCCTCATACTTTTGGCCCAACGTATACGTAATATAAGGAAGCAGTTCATATCATATAGTTGGAGTTTCAGCTGGTTTGCTGCGGACATATTCTGCCAGTTCCAGGGTATGTCCTAGTAGAGCTCATTATTGCCAACGCTTTTCTACTTGCTACGGTTGTAGTTGTTGTTGTTGTTGCTTCGTCCACAGCATTTTGGAGTTCTGCCTTGCGGTGGCCTTCTCTCTTTATTTTTTTTGTAGGAAGTCAAACTGGCCCCCCCCCCCCCCCCTTTTTTTGCTAGCCCCTAGCCGTCTCGCCCACTTTTGTACCCCTTGCTGCTTGGCCCCGCCCACTCGTCTAGCCTTTTTGCCTCGCTGCTTGCCCTTTTTTTATGGTCGTGTAATTTTTTGTTGGCCTTTTTATTTATGCTTATTATCGTGATTGCTTTCGCCCGTAGCCCGG